TCGCGCCAGTGGTAAGGGGAAGACTAAAGACACAACGACATGAAAGGTTTGATCTTTTGCCCTCGTTTTATTCAATTTATTCCCTAATTTATGTTAGTGACGGTGACTCTGTTGTATTACAAAGAAGGGCTAATGGATTTTGGGTTCATCTCTGTTGCTTGCCAAATCCTGCAAACCAAACAGAGAAATGGATTTTAAATCCAATCCAATCCAAATCCCTCCTGCAAATCCAAATCCCTCAGAAACATTCCTGCAAACCAAACGCACCCAAAAGGTTATTACCCAAATTAAAGTCTTAATCACACAAGTAAAGATTCTTAAGTACAAAAGTAAAACATCCTTAAAGCATCTTCAATCAAAACTCAGCTGCCAACCAGTACTACAAGATGCCCTCTTCAACAAATTGCTTAAAACTTCATCTTGACTGAGCCGTCTAAGCCAATATCATCTAGCTGCGGGATGCTACAACAATAATATCCTGTTGTAGCAACAACCTGTCAGCAATTATTCCCAAATATCATAAAATAGTACCAAATCATACATCCTAGCTCCAATAAGTCTAACACCAGAAAATAAGAACAAAAGACTCAATATAGGATTGAGAAGATGTAAAAATAGGGGAATAAAAGGTCCTAGATGGGTGTCTGAGTGTATACTTCTACACACTTATCATTGACAGAAGGAAAATGAATGCAAATATCCATATCAAAAGCTATACCCCCCCCATCCGGAGATGGTATCCAGATTTGATACCTGCAACTTATTTGGATTTTGAACACTAGTGGGGGAAATATGCTTATTACAAGTGATGCTAAAGTAGAGAGGAAGGAGGAACAGTAGTGCAGGCTGTGGTGGAGTGGAGTGGCGTTGTACGGAGATTGCCTTCATCGGAGAAAAAAGAGGACGATACACCGGCAAAAGCATTCTTGGGGAGGAGATGATGCTGCAGTAGGTGATATATGTGCATACATGTATATCTATAACAAATACATTATATTCATATACAAATAAGTATATAAAATTGGAAAAAATTCAGAAAAACCCAACCAACCGTCTCATTTTAAATGTTTAAGTCCTTGAACTATTTTTTTAAATGAAAAAACCATAAAACTTGTCTCATTTGAATGATCAAGTCCCTAAACATTATTTTGGATAAATAAATCATCAAACTTCTAAAAATTGGTTACTTACATCTTAAAAAAACAAAAACTATCTGTAATTGACTAGAAATATTTTAAAGTAAAAACAAACTTAAATCAGTCTTATCATTCCCAAACCCTGTGCCATTAAAATCTTTTGCAAATAACGGTATCGCTCCCCCTCACCACTTCTTGTCGCCCCAACATTGTCCGTTCTCCATGTAGCCTAACACGCTGTTGGCATCTACCATCGACTTACCCTATTTTTGATCTCTCAAAAGATAACCGGTTACATGTATTTTTTTGGGTTAGAAGAATGTGAATAAGCAATTTTTAAAGTTGATCTGGTTTAATTTATCGAAAAAAATGTCCAGGGACTTGATCATCAAAATAAGAAAGTTTAATGATTTTTTCATTTAAAATGAAAAAGTTTAGTAGTTTATTCATTGAAAAAAAATAGTTTAGCGACTTAATCATCGAAAATGAAAAAGTTTAGTGGTATTTCATTAAAAAAAATAGTCTAGAGACTTAATCATTCAACATGTGATAGTCTCTTGGGTTTTTTTCCTGAATTTTTCCTTATAAAATTTACTTGTTTTTGTTTTTTAAAAAGTGTAAATAAAAATGGAAAGTACTATAGTACCCTTGATTTAACGGAGTCTAGTTTGACAGTATTAGGGTAATGGACCTAATCCATAACAAAAATGAAATCACAATGCTGATATATTTAATTATTTCGTTTGAGGATTTGATCCATAACTTTCACATAACCTAGGGATGAAATTCGTGATGTACTCTAAAATTTAGGGGGTGTTTGGAATTGCTTATTTAAAGTTCTTATTAACTTATTTATTCTGATGTAGTACCGGTAATAAAAGGTTTTTAGTGTTTGGATGAGAAAAACAAAATATCTATATCGGTTTGACACCGGTAATAGAGAGTTTTTTAATAAGTTACTTCATTGTAACTTATTAACATATTCTGATGGAGTACCGATAATAAGGAGTTTTTAGTGTTTGAATGAAAAAAAGAAATGCTTATCAGCTTATTATGTTATGGTACCGCTATAAACTGATCCAAACATATTTTATAAAACTTCGATTTAACTCAAAATAAGTTGATGATAATTTAAAAAAACATAAGTTAGTTTTAATTAAAACTAAAAGGGCACTCGTGCAATGCATCGAGACACATCTTGATTTCAGTGTTTCGTTTTATTCATTTTTTTTATGTCGATATAATACGGTTTTATGTGTTTTTGAAAAATCGATAATGTTTTTATTTTTGAATAAAATATAAATTTGAAAATATCATAAAATTTTAAAAAAGAATATATATATCGATATCAGTATCAATTAATTTATTAAAAGTTTTTGTGTTTTGGTGTAATTTTCTTAATTCAAAATTTTTAAATTATAATTTAATTTAGGTTTAGTAACAGAAATTTAATTTAGATTTAATAATATATTTTTTATGAAGATAATAACTAAGTATTCTGTTAGAACTCAATAATTATCATAATTATATTTTAGATTTTTTATATTTAAAATGACATGTTTATCCAATATTTGATTATATTTATCTGCAGTTAGCTACACGAATTAAAATATGGAGCTCTAATAAGTTGTACTTATGCATAATTTACTTGTAATTTTAAATTTTAAGTAATATGCATCAATAAACAATATTCAATGCATAAAAATGGTTTTTAAGAGTTTTTGTCAAATGATTTATATAATTAAAAGAGTAAAATGCACAAAATAACAATCTACTTTCATAAAACAAATTATTATAGCATTATATTTTTAGTTTTTCTTATTACAGCAATGTACTTTCAAACTATTTTTTAATAGGACATTGTACTTTGAAAAATTTACCCATTATAGTATTAGGTAACCTTTTGATTTAAATTTACCCATTATACCAGGTTTCCATGCCACCTCATAATCCACATATGTTGTCCACATGTACTATAGTGGTGTGACTTTCTTATTACAACATTGTACTTTCAAAATATTTTATTATAGTATCTATTAGTTCTTATTAAACAATGCACTTTTAATTTTAATATTTAGATATTTTACATGTTATTTAATTAATATATTAAATAAATTAAAAAAATTCTAAATTATTCATTAATATATTAATATTAATAAAACTAGTAGAAGACAACTTATCTCGCTAATATTTTTACAAAAATATGTGTATTTGAAAAAAGAAAATAAGAATTGTTTCTTTTTTACCAAAAAATATTATCTTTTAAAGAATATATATTATATTTGTTCAAAACCTTTTCCTTGACGTATAAATATATTAAATTAATTAGATTTTTTTGAATTAACATTTTAGAGAGAACTTTAAAAGATATGTATTTTTTTGAACAACATAAAATAATAAGTGCTACATTTTTTACAAACAAAATATATCTCGAAAATAATATAGCATATTTATTTAAGAAATATTTTATTCTAGAATATTAAATTTCCATGCAACTTAATAAGAAAAAGTCAAAAAAATTTAATGTTTTTTTAAATCATAGCAATGAAAAATGAAAATCACTAATAATAATTTGAAATAAGTTTTAATTTTTATTTTAATTAAGTTATCAAAATAATGTGTTATCCACATCATCTCACCAAAGTCACATAAGCAAAAAAATCAAGAGGTTAACCGGTTTAAAAGATAATAGATTATCCATTGCTATAATGGATAGATTTTTTAAAGTGCGATGTCTTAAATAAAAAATAATTTGAAAGTACATTGCTGTAATAAAGAAAAGAGAAAATTGCACTAAAATAGAACCAATGTTCACCTAATTCCTATTTTGGAGAACCAACTTTCAAAATCGTCATTTTGGGGAACCAACTTGCACCTGATTCATATTTTGGGGAACCAACTTTCAAAATCATCATTTTGGGGAACCAACTTGTACCTGATTCCTATTTTGGGGAACTAACTTGCAAAATAAATTATAAAAAAATAACTAAAATTCGTTTTTTTCCAAAAATTAATGCAATAAAATCTATTTTTCATTTCAAATCTTGTTTTTTTAATTAAGATATCAAATTGAACATTTTTTAAAAAAAATCCAAATTACCACAATAAAAATTATTTTTTACCAATGCAAAAAAAACAATTTAATAGAAAAAAAATTAATTGATGCAATAAAAAATAAATATTAAATATCACATTCAAGATTTTTATATTTAACCACTTGCATCAATTAATTTTTTTCTATTAAATTATTTTTTTGCATTAGTAAAAAACAATTTTTATTGTGGTAATTTGGATTTTTTTTAAAAATGTTCAATTTGATATCTGAATTAAAAAAACGAGATTTGAAATGAAAAATAGATTTTATTGCATTAATTTTTGGAAAAAAAAAAGAATTTTAGTTATTTTTCTATAATTATTTTGCAAGTTGGTTCCCCAAAATAGGAATCAGATGCAAGTTGTTTCCTCAAAATGACGATTTTAAAATTTGGTTCCCCAAAGTAGGAATCAGGTGTTAGTTGGTTCCCCAAAATAAGAATCAGGTGCAAGTTGATTCCCCAAAATGATGATTTTAAAAGTTGGTTCTCCAAAATAGAAATTAAGTTAAAGTTGGTTCTATTTTAGTGTAATTTTCCCTAAAGAAAAACAAAAGTTGAATACCATAATAAAAAAAATTATAAAAATAAATTGCTATTTCATGTATTTAGCAAATCCTAAACAGCCCTTTAGATCATACCGATTCGACTCGGTGGCTGTAATTGGATCACCGAATATATGGTACAGGTAGACACCATTGGGCCCGAAAAAGGCTTGACCCAATTAAACCTCTGTGTAGCCTTAAATACGCCCAAACCCTAACTTATTGCAGAAGTGCCAACCGTGTGTGAGCTTCATTCTTAGCACCATCACCATACTATCGAAGAGACGCCGCCATGGTAAATCTCGCTATGCTTCTTTCAATAAAAGATGTTAAGTTTAGGGTTTCTATCGATTTTTCTAGTTTTCTTTCGTTGAATTCTGAATTAACTTGATATCGACATGAATGGATCCTGGCTCACAATGATTTAGCGTATATTTGCATTTTTTTGTTTGTTAATATAGGTGAATTTAGCTCTTCAGGACTTTGAATTTTGAAGATAGTTTAAATTTGATTCCTTTAGTGTTTTACAGACAACCTTCGATGTGAACTTTATTTGGAAGATTCTAGATACTTCTTGCATAGTTATACAACTCTAGCTGAAGGTTTAGATTCTGGATAGTGCGACATTTGGTGCAATTTTGCAACGCCAATAACGTGAACTAAATTTTGCATTATGATGTATCTTCATTTGCTAACGTGTTATAGAATATTTTGCGATCAAATTGGTCAATATGTATTAGTTTCTTCTGCTTTCTAAAAACTAGTTCGGGGAACAGTGTTGTGTAGTCAGAAATGAAGAATAGGTCGACTTATTTAGAGCAAAGATGGGTGATTTAGGAACAGACCAAGTATGGGCTGTTCACAATAGGTGCATTTTGCAATCTCAACAATCCAATGTGAATCAAGAATGGACACAATTTTTGTGGCACAAGGGAATTCCGTCACTTGTTCGAGCATTTATTTGGATGACGATTGAAGGGTGCATCCCAGTAATAAGTATCTTTTCATGTTATAACACAATAACTTGTTTATCGAACAATTGTGTGAACCTGTATCATAAACAATGGATCATATTTGATTTCATTCTGTCATGTTATAGAATGTCTTGCCCTCTAACTCAGTCAAATTAGCTCCTGTTTATCGGCTATATTCTTGCATACTTCAAGTTATTGTAAAATGCATATCAGCGTTGAACTAATATTAATTATTGAGGGTTTTTTTCAATTTGATAGTCGAAGTCGAGAAAGGTCAGGGAGCCAAAGGAAGAAAATGTCACCCTTGGACCTGCTACCCGTGAAGGAGAGCTTGTATTTGGTGTGGCACACATCTTTGCATCGTTCAATGACACATTTATCGTAAGTTCATGTCTTTATGTTTTCTTTTGTTTGAAATTAAAGCTTCTGGTGATTCATTTATCTGTATTTGTTTTATGTCTACTGCAGCATGTGACTGATATCTCTGGGAGAGAAACCATGGTCCGAATTACAGGTATGATAAGGACCATTCATTGTTTTCTGTTATTCGCTCTAATAAATTCACTTGTATGCTGCTAAAGACGGCAAAAACCCTAAAAATCAGTATTGTAATAGGATATGCGCAAGGCCTCAGGTTTAAGATACCTGTATTTGCTGAAGATTCGAGTCAAATATGGAATGACACCGCTTTTTGAGCTTTTATTATATTTTTTTAGGTTTATAGTATTGTTTTTGCTATTCATTGAGGAATTATAGAAAAGAAAGTTGGCTCGTTTATGCATTCTTGAGGATAATAAATACAATATTGTCAAGGAAGAAGTCTATAATAATTTATTTTCCTATGATAATTTAAAGGAAACCTTCAAAAATGTTATTAATGCTTTCTCCTTTCCTGTTCAAAATAGTTGAAGTTTGCTATTTATTTTTGCTACTTATGCTCTGTTGCTACACTAGGGGGGATGAAGGTGAAGGCCGACAGGGATGAATCCTCTCCCTATGCAGCTATGCTTGCTGCACAAGATGTTTCTCAGAGATGCAAGGTTTTGTTCCCAGTTTTTACATATTTATACCTACATTCACACACACACACACACACACACACATATATATATATATATATATATCTATATAGGGGAGCGATCAAATGCAAACCACTCAATTTGTACAAATCGTGCAAACCGCATTCAACCAATCATAATTTTTCATTTTGTTCATTTTTATGTAATTATCAGAGGTTGATTAATCATTTTCATTGTGGAGGGTGTTAATCATAAATATTATCATCTTCATAATTTTAATTTTAAAAAAATACATGAAACAGTTTCATTAATGTTAGA